CCCCATACCGTTTGACATTAGAGAAGCCTGAGTGTCGACGACAATGTGAGCAGTGGAGCAGAGGGGAGACGGACACCAGGAGGTCAGCAGTGTCCCACAGGTCTTGGTTTACTGACGGTCCATTTAGCTACACGAAAAACTGCTGAGGTCACATGACAGGCCGCGACTCACTGAAGTCAGATGTGTCATAGTGAGTTTATTTCAGAAGAAGCTAAGAACGTCCTCGTTGGTTTAACGGCCAGCTTCTTCATCCGTCACTGAAGACGTGGGTTTGATTCCCTGACACCGAGACAGCACAGTATCAGAGCCGCTCCTGATCCGCTCTCCAGATTTTCTTTGATTTTTGACCTAAATTTCCCGAAGAGAACTCCCGAGGGATTAATAAAGTGCTGTCTGTCTGTCTGTGGAGTCGCAGCGTTTTTTGTTTTTTTCATTTCCAATCATCTAAATCGTTTCACCTCCTCAGATATAAACGTGTCCTCGTCGTCGTCACACCCATCACTGGGAACACAGACAGTGAACCCTTGAAGCTGCTCTTCCACATTGGTTCTATTCATCACCCTCTGAGAAGAGCCGACCCCATCATTAGCTGAATTCCCTCTTCTTTGTGAACACATCATCAAAAGAGGAAGAATTCTTTTCTTCTTCTCTCCTCAGTCGACCTGGGACACGCACAGGAAGTGACTCAAAGTTTATTTTCTAGGATCGGCCTGAGCTTCAGCATCTCCTCGCCTCCCCCCCCCGTCTGCTCCTCAGCTCACCCTCCCACACCCCACCATGAATAACGCACGACATTAAACGGCAGAGCGCCATCTTGCTGTCAGCTTCGCTCCCGACTGAAACATTCCTTCCTCCTTCTCCTCCTTCCAGGTAAATGTAAATACACACACTTTCTGGGAAAAACGGAATCAGGAATGTGAGACAAGTGTCGCTGCCAAGACCGGCCTCTCCCTGCTGAAGTCTCGCTGCAAATCAGAGACAAATCAGGGAACGTGATCTCACGTTAACGCCGTCAAATCCGGCTCCTTGTGGTAACTGTTGTTTGGGTTCAGTGAAGAAGAATCATTCCCGTCTCTGGTTTTCCCTTCATTTCACTTTTTTGGCATCGAGATCAGTGCTCGCTGCAGATGCTGTGTGTTATTTAACACCGCTGTGGATGAAGGGAAACATCAGGACGTGTTTATACACTTCACGTGGAATGTCCTGTAAACCCAGAGACCCCCGGCCCTCCACAACGCTGACAGATGGCATGTACAACGTTTGGAGCTTGAACGATGTGTAAAATTGTTTTCCCGCTGTCTCCTCTCCTCTCCTCTCCTCTCCCTCTTTTCTTCCTCCTGTGCTGCTGCGTGACGGCATGTGAGCGAAGCTGCTGACAGCCAGAGATCCTGTGACTCCTCTGGCAGCCTCGCCGGCTTCCCAAAGCCTTGAAAAGAAAAGTAGGAGGAGGAAAGAACGCTACTTCTCAGCGGGGGGATGAGCACAAAGAGCACTTTCAGCGCACGGGCTGAGAGTTTCTCCCCTTGTCCTGCATCAACTGTCTGCTGTCGTTTTATTGCTGTCAAGTAAATCACAGGAAAAACCCGAGCAGGCCCCTGAGGCGCTTTTTAAAATAAAATAAAATAAAATAAAAATAAAAAGCCTCAGTGACGTTGGAGCCTTTTGCTGCGGCATCACTTCTCACAAAGCCATGTGCTGTTGTGATGGGGCCCCAGTAGCAGCAGCAGCAGCAGCAGCAGCAGCAGCAGCAGCAGAGTGTTTCCAGAACAACAGGAGTCGTGTTTACAGTACAGTTGGTTCGTTGCATGCGTAGACGTTGGTGTAAAAAAAATGAAGAAGAAAAAGGAAAGTAAACTGTCTGGAGTTGAAGAGTTTGACGACCTCTCTCTCTCTCTCTCTCTCTCTCTCTCTTCTGGCTGAAACATGGAACAGTGTTGTTGAGCAGCAGCTTTGGATCACAGCCACGTCGAGAGCTTGTCGTCAAGGTCGAAGAACCGAGGAGATGATTTCACCGACGGTCACTCTTCCTCTTAGGGTTGATGCTCTGGTGTTTTCTTATGTTGGGAGAATATTGTGGTCAAGTTGGGTTTTTTTTGGGGGGGTGTGAAAGCACCTGACAGGAGTCTGACCCTGCAGCAGTAGTCATTGGTTCAGTTGTGACACAGGTCCCTGTGGCTCCAGGCTGCAGGCACTTCAGAAAAGAGAACACGATACAAACAAACTGTGGCCAAAACCCAGTCAGTGTCTTCTCATTACACAGTAGCACCATGCTAACACAAACCCAAATCATCAGGGGCAAAAACAAAATATAAAAAAAAAAAAAAAAGGTGCCAAAGGTTCTTTTTTTTTGGAGGATCACTTAAAAAGGTGCTTAGTTACTTTTACCACAGTGCAATTGAAAAAAAAAAGGTTGGACATTTCATGTCCCACTGTTTAAAGACTGTGTACAAGTCTAGTTTAGCAAAGACCACAGAAGAAAGGCAGAGTTCATTTACAAGAACGCCCACTAGGTGGGCTGTGGCGTTGCCAAATAAGTATAATTGTAACACAAGTACAAAAAAAAAAACAACAAAAAAAACAAACAAATTGAACTTACTTGTTTTTTCTAAATCTACAAGTTGTTTTTTTTTTTCTTCTCCATTTGTCATTGCAATTCAGGAAGGTGCGCTACATAACCGGGCCAGGGGTCGAGGAGAGGGCACGGGGGTCGGGGGGCACTCAGTCAAAGGCCAGTTCTGTTCAGGACTACAGGTGTTCACACTACATGGATGAGCCTGACTGATTGTGGCCTCAGCTCAGTTCAGCCTGTTGTTGTTTAATGAATAAACTAATTCTCCTCTTGATTTTGTCACAAAGGTTGAAACCGAAAATAAAAACTGTATCACGCTCTAATAAAACCCACTCATGTTAAGAGGATTAGGGAAAATGGCGTCTTGCTCTACAACCTAATGTGCGTTGTTATCAATTCGGCCACCAGGGGGAGCCTGTAGATTTTTAAAAATTTTAATCTTACAGTATCTCCTGTTTTTTTGGCTTTTAGATAAAGAAACTGAAAATGATTTAAATGTATTTTTGTACACTTTGATTAAGATTTAATAACAATAATAATAAATCTCATAAATGCAGAGTGGTCATGGTCAGGCCGACACTCATGTAGTGTCAACTCAGTGCAGAGGAGCACCAGGCTGTGGTACTTCACACAGTCACTCAGTCACACCATGGTCTATTAGACACATGACGGTAGTGCATCAGTGTAAATGGGTCAGTGACGTCATCCAGTCCTGGATGGCTGTGAGTAAACATGTCAAATATGTTTTTTTTAAACATGATAATTATGTGTTGATGGTTGGCAGTGTCTGCATCAGTCTGCAGCCTCTGTTCTCTTTGGTCACTTGGAATTAAGGTGCATTTCGCAAGATTTGTTTTTCTCATATTTTAGGCGGGTGATAGAGAGCTGGTGAGGGAATTAAAGCTCTGAAGAACTTTACACACACACACACACACACACACACACACACACACACACACACAGTGTTTCTGGCAACAGCTGCTCTTTCATCTGGTCACCTGGTTTTCACTCATTGACGTTTCCGATGCAGTTCGATCGCTGCAGTTTTTCTGCAGGAGCAAAGTCGTTTGCACACACACACACACACACACACACACACACACACACAGGCCTGGGCTCCTCCCACTTCATATTTAGCACTTCCTCTGTCCTCAGATGCCCCCTCCCCTCCCTTCCCCCCTCGGTGCCCTCTGCTCACTACCGCCCCCTGCCAACAACTACGACCATCTACGAAACAGTGCAATGTCTAGTCATAGGCACAGTGGGGTACAAATACAGCACACACAGGGAGAGAAGAACACTACACACACACACACACTCGTACTGTATGTTAAAGGTCCACCACACAAACACCCACCCACACACACACACACACACACTCGCCCACACAGACGGAACACAAACACACCATCAGCAGCAGCTCTGATCAGTCGGTGGTTTTGGTGCCGGGACCGGACACTGAAGACGACTGCTCTTTGGAGGAGGACAGGGAGCAAAGTGGCAATTTCATTCCGTTTTGTTTAGACTACTCCTCCCTCCTTTGCCCCCCTCTAATTTTCCAGCGTGTTTTTTTCCTGCTTCACCTTTCCTCCGCTCTTATGTTACCATGTTGACAGGGTGGAGGTGGAGGTGGAGCGGAGCCTCCTCAGGTCAGGTCAGGTCAGGTCAGGTCGGGTCGGTCGGCGCGGGGGCACAGAGGGAGGAAGGAGAAAAGATGAGGAGCAGCAGGTGTTGAGACTTTACCCCGCTGTACCGTCTCCCTCCTGCAGGGGCTCTTTCCGCTGGTTCTGACCGCCCGCACTGGCCGCCAAAATTCTCTGCACAAAGTCTTTGGTCCGCCCGGCGACTAAAGGCCCTGAGGTTGGCATAAAAATAAATTGAGAATGTTGGGTAGAAAAAAAAAGAAAAAAGAAAAACACAAACCAACACCAAAAACAGTTCTGTATAAAAATGACAAATACAGCTGGAAAAAAAAAGTCTGAGTCAGATACAATTACAACAGGAGGGAAAATCCAAGGTTTGGATCTTCACCTTTGACCTTCTGAGTCAAAAGGACCGAAATATTTGATCAGAGATTTTCTGTCATGCACATGTCGGTCTACACTTTTTCCTCTCACCACTGGATTCCCGAAGAATGTCTTCAAGGCGCTGAGTCATCCCTCGTTCATCCGTGTCCTCGTCCTCGCTGCTCTCCACCCGTCGTCTGATCACTTCTTTGATTCGCAGCAAAGCCCCAAGAAGATTCTCTGCCAAAAAACAAAAGGTGACAAGAACCTCAGGGATGGAGATCTGTGCGTTCAGAGTAGAGAGACACAGCGACGTGCTTCAAGTCACGAAGAAAAAAAAACTCCACAGCTTTGAACATCCTGGATTTTCACTTCTTGATTTTTTTTTTTTCAAAGATCCACAGATTCTGCCAAATAAATATGTCCTGACTCTACGCCCAAACACACACACAGTATAGACACAGATGGAGAACTTCCAGCTCTGCTAACGTGCACCTCATGCTTCGCCGTCTGTGCAGACACAGCGTCTGACGGAGCTCTGGCTGTTTGACGTGGGGACGCAGTTTGTTTAAGATTCGGCCAAAACTCATTTTTCAAAAATTAGGAGACATTTTCCACAAAGCCCAGAAGCTTCTGTTGTGAAGCGTTGTTTGTATTTAAAAAAAAAAAAAAAAAGTCTAAGGAGAAGAATTGTTTAACAGGGAAAATGAAACTGAAGTCATATTTGGATCAGTCTGTGAGTTTTTTTTCAGCAGTGGCAGCAGATCGTGACAAGAGCGGCTTTGAAATTCACAACTCCATTTAAACCCACTGCTCTGTTGAAGTCGGTTTCATTTTGGAAATGACTAGAGTCTAACTTGTGCCTTGGAGCCATAATGAAGGGCAAAAAGATCCCAAAAAAAACAAAAAACAACACAGACAACCAGCGAATTTAAATAAAGTGATCGTGAAGGGCAAAAAGATCCCAAAAAAAAACCCAAAAAACAACACAGACAACCGGCGAATTTAAATAAAGCGATCGCCCACGTAAGACACACGCGATGGCGAGGTAACCAAGAAACTCTCCACCTTCCTCAACCCTTCAGTCTCAGTTCTTTCATTTTGTTTCTCACAGATGAACATTGACTAGAAAATTCCTGGGCAGCGCCACCCAGTGGGTTGAGACGAGAATATTTATTTTGGTTTGTAATAATAGTAACAAGTATTCTGTTATCGACCTTTTTTTTCTGCCTCAAATCAGAAACGACGGCGTCAACATTTCAGTAGCATCAGAACACAACGGAACCAGGAAGATACCACGTATAACACCAGCTGAAAACACACGTTCTCACACCATTAACCTCCTATATATAATGTCATAACGCTGTCACCCCTAGTGGTCATTCAGCAGACTACCGTTTTCACCACTTCCCCTCCAGATCAAAGGGTTTGTGGTTTTTTTTTTAGACACAGCCTTTGTTATAAATTTGAAGAAATGAAAGTGTGTGGTTTCTCGTCACCACTGAGAGCTAACACCTCACCATCCATTCACCTGAACACTGCCTGGAAAGTGTTGCGAGGCTGCGTTCACCTTAAATTGACCTCTCTCTTCAGTTCAGCTTTCTTTGTTTCAGCAAGTGAAAGCCACAGCCAGGGTTTCAGTTTCTGTAGAGCGTAGGTCGACCGTCTGCACTGGGTTTTATTCTTCAGTTTTTGTAATTATTTTTCTAATAAAAACTCGTAGGTGAAACACTACAAAAACACCGTGGTCTTTCTTATCGGACGGAGCTGCTGCTTCAACGACACCTTTGACTGTACAGCTGAGGGCAAACACCGTGAATGTGTGTGTGTGTGTGTGTGTGTGTGTGTGTGTGTGTGTGTGGTGGTTTATATCAGGGAACATTATTCTGGTGAAGATGTGACTTGTCATTTGTGGAGAATCTCTCAGCGGGGAGTGGGTGTTGGATGATCTGCAAGAAGTGTGAAGGCAGGGGGCGTCGCTGCTCTGGTGGAGCGCTGACTGTGTTTTATATTAAATTATTCTACACTGGAGGAGAGACAGAGAGAGAGAGGAAGAGGGAGAGAGAGAGTGCAGACACTGTAGAAATTAAGTGAGATGAAGAAGAAGAACAGGAGATAAGACTGGGAAGAATGGTGGCGTACAGCGTTCCTGTGTGTGTGTGTGTGTGTGTTATTTATACTGGTGCTAGGCCAGGAGGACAGGAATCTGTGGGAGGCACAAATAAAGGCCCAAACATTCCCAGTCAGCGATCAAGAACGACTGGAATGTTGGAAAACTGAAAGGACAATTGGACACCAGTGATTGGTGCTGGTGATCAACTGGATACAATCAGGAGGAAGTGATGTCACAGAGAACATCCGTCGTCAGAAGACAAGGTTTTTTGTTTTTGTTCCCCTTCAGACAGTGAATGGACGGTGTTGAATACTGAGTCACAGCACAGACGCAGGTGAAAAACTACATATTAATACACTGAAATATCACAATACTTCAGTTCACAGTATTGATATTCTACCACACTCCAGATATTCAATTTTTATGAACAGTCAAATATTCACGGCGTCGGTTCATTTTATTTTGCTTTTATTTCTTCACTATTAGGAAAAATTAATGGACTTTTTTTTTTTTTTTACTTTTCTATGAATTATTTAGGAGTTTTCTCTAAGTGTCAGCGTTTGGACACAAATGAATCAGAAAAGTTGAGGGTGGTAAAAAATAAATCTTGTAAATAGACCAAACCAAATTATGTGAGGAACAAATTTCACAGACAAGCTGTAGTGAGAAAACAAGACACTTTGGGTTTATTTATTTATAAACTCTCACACTCAGTGACTTGGTGAAGATGTAAAAACTACAAAACTACTTGAACGAAGAGTTCGGAAATCAACACTGACCAGGTTTAACATTTGAGTTAAAAAAAACCTACAGCTGTCAAAATGAACGTGTTATTCTTGTAAACTGATTTGTAGATTTGAATCTGATTCACCTTTTTTTAAGGCATGAGCAAAATGACTTGAGTTAAATCTGATAATTCCACCAAAATCCACCAACTCCAAGAAGCAAAACTTTGAGTTTCAGTTTGGCATATTTCTCTCAATGTTTTTCCACGTTAATTAATTCCATTAATTGGATTAATCACAAATGTGTAAAACGCACACACATCCCAGATGTTGTCTCAAATAATCATGATTAATCGTGATCAGGATCATGAAGAATCGTGATGAATTCACAGCTCAATTGAACCAATCCCACAACACAACACAACACAATAGTTCCAGTCACTGCCTGTTTGGTACATATAAACACACATACATATATAAATATATACATATACTGACCATATTCCTGGTTCAGGCCCCACAGCTTGATCTTGTTTGCTTCGTGCTGAGCCTTCTTCTTCAGCCTGCACGCCCTGGAAACAAGGGAACGAAACCAGTGTCAATCTGTGGATCAGGAAAACTCGGCTCTTCCACCGCGTGATCCTTCGTTAACATTCGCCGGTTCACACCGCAGGCAGCCGAGCGGGAGAAAACGCTCCCACAGCGCTCATGTTCTCCAAGTACAATTTAACTCTGGATCTGCGGGGACACGGGTGGCGTGGTTTAGGAAGCGGACAGCCAGGCAAAGTAAATCACCGACACTACACGGCGTTACTGCGTCTCCAGGGAACTGTTTTACGCACTTTTCCTGCAGCTGCGAGTCAGTTATAGGAAACGCAAGAAAGTAAACTACTTGCGCACCAGTGACACTGAGGGGAAAAAAAAAAAAAAAAAAAATCCCATCTCCATTTCTGTGTGTGTTTTGCTGAGAGGTTACAGCGAGCGTCAGCCAGGTTTCCTCCTTCCTAAAACACGCTCTGCTGGTTTGGGGACAACTGTGTCACAGAACCATTGACCCTGCCAACACACCCCCCCCATGACATCAACAGAACGATGAATACATTTCACCATGGGTTGTTTTTTTGTTTTTGACTTCATTTCTCTGCCCACCCACAGTCCACTACATGAGAAATTAAAGTCGTCATTTCAAACAGACACAAAACAGCTGTGCTCCCAAAAATAGCTCAACACAAATAAATACTGTTCACTGTGAAATGGAGTGACTTCATCTGTAAAATGGAAGAATCCGGAGGAAGCAGACACACATTCAACAACCTGAAAGCCTCCATGTTTACACATTAAAACAGAGTTGTTGTTTTTTTTTAAAGAAATCAGCTTTTTATCTCCGACAGCTGTGGGAAACGCTGAACTTCTAATTAGATTCAGATATTTTGGGTGATGTGGTTGACGGTGACTGAACAGGTGTTGACACCAGCAGGTGGCACGGCTATATTTTCATTCCCAGAATGCACGGGGACTGTGTGAGAGGTGGGACTGTTGAGACTGTTCACGCAGGCGAAGTCGAAGAGGAAAAGAAAAAATGGAATGTGAAGCATTTCGTTTTAATAAAACGAGAGAAAAACGAGAAGAGAAATCCAAAATCAACAGTTGGTGTCACCAGATTCTTTTTTTTTGTCTGTACGTTTGGCAGGATCAGAAACATTCTGATACTTTTATGAACAAATAAATTAGCTACATCACAGCCTGAACTTTTCTGCCATATTTCCCGTACCACACTAGTGGTCCATGTACCATAGATTGAGAACCACTTGCATTCACACCATGACACCATGAACGAAGGCCAGCACGATTATGGGGAAAAAAAAATCATGATTATATTTGACAATAGTAAAATCTCCATTATTATTTAGGACTTTTTTCTTTAGAAGCAACATTCAAATAAACACAGGAATAAAATCACAGTGTAGTTCACACCCACAGTATCTTACAATATAAATAAAGTACAAGTAATCTATAAAAAACAGAAAAATAATACCAGTTATCATGACTCATGATATTGTAAAAAAAAAAACAACAACTTTGACTTCAAATGCATCTGTCTAAAGATACCGTGTTGTCAAGCAGAAACACTTTTTTTTAAACTCCAGGTTAGTCAGTCAGAAGAAGACAGAGAATGTACGTCGTTTTGTCACTGACAGGAAAACTGATTGGACAGACTTCACACCAATGCACAAGTCTGACACTGACGCGGTCCAGAGGCATGAACGACGACCAAAAATACAACTACACTGTGGCTGATGGTGAGGTCATTGAACACAACACGACACGACACGACAGTCCTACAGCACAGTATGTCCAGCTGATGCCAAGACGCCTGAACGCCACAGACCAGACACAGGGTTTTTTGGGTTTTACAGGAGTGTCAGTCAGCCACAAATATATATATTTATAAAACAAACAAACAGTAAAGAAACGGCTGCATATTTGATTAAGTCAGCGGCTGACAGCAAACATCCTCCTTCTCTCTTTACTGCCTCAGAGAGATCGTATTCTGGCCAACTTTCTCTCTGCGTGTGTACTTACGTCTCGTATGATAAATATGATTGGAAAAAAAATGTAATCCCCAAATCCCACACCTATTTAAACCGTCTCCGTTTCCCCTCCGTATTCCCTCCCATCCTCCACAGATGAACTTCAAATAACCCTCTCTCTGCCGCTCTCTCTCCCTCCCTCCCTCTCTCTCCTCTTCTAAAGCCTCGTCTTCCCTCTCAGCCTTGCCCTGATTTCCTTCTATTCAACCTGCTTTCCTCCATCTCATCATCTCGCTTCCTTTAATCCTTAATTCATTTCAGAATGAAATTGGCCGACGTAAAAAAAAAAAATACAGATGACTCAATTTGTGCATGATACACCAGATAGAAATAATGAGATGGAACATCTTTCCATCAGAGACGGAGAATTCAGCTGCTCCTTCACCCTGTACACATCAGCAATGGAACAGACAATTTTTCGAAACCAAACTTGTTGACATCAAAGGCGGGAACATTGAGTGAGTCAGCACCACTGTACCTGGAGGCCAGCTTGTTCTTCTCCTTCCTCGACCGCGCCCGGGCCACAGCAGGGAGCTCGTTGACGGGACCCATGCCGTCGATGGCGGCGTTGAGCTTCTGCAGCTGCTCACCGATGTTGTGGAGCTTCTGAGGGTTGGGTGTCAGGTCACTGGCATCCGTCTTACGAGCTTTGCGGCGTCCCTTTTTACCTGGTGTTTGGGTGAATTTTTTTTTTTGGTTATATCACGTTATATAGAAGAGATCTAAGATTCTCTGAAGGAACTTCACTCAGATGATGCCAACGTTATATAGAAGAGATCTAAGATTCTTCTCTCAGATGATGCCACAACATTTTTTTTGCCCTGCCTTTTGCCCTTGTGGGTATAATGTAGCGGTAGTGGTCGTCGAAGGTTAGCCTCGACCCCTTCAAAGGTTTTCATTGATCAGCAGTTGAAGTCCTGCTGATCTTTACTGCCGCACATCTCTGTCTACGACAACACGTGTTTCACAGGATGGAGGAATAAGAATTAGACATGAGACCCAAATGTAGGCCACGTGCCCGAGAGCCATGATCGGATTTGTGTCATAAAAGCAGAGAAATGGGTCGCTCCAGCTGCACTGAGGACAGACACCAGCAGGATGTGGGCATCTACTTTGAGAAATCCAAACTTTCGTGTACCTCCTGTGTTCATTTTGTTTAAGCTCACCTTCTCTGCGGTACAGCGTGCTGGGCAGAGTGCTGGAGCTCCAGGACAGGGACCAGTGGACGTCTCCACCCAGTTTCTTCTTGGAGGCCGTCTCTCTGGCTCGTCTGTACTCCCAGAAACACCGTCGCTTCGACGGCCGCTCACCTGGCTGCGTGACGGGCTCTGCCTCCGCCTCTGAGGATTCAAACATGAATTATTTCATTTAACTGTAACTGAAGGGGGCACCAGATATTCAGCTGTTGGAGATTTTTGTCTGAAAATGGCTCAAAACTTTTTCAGCCGAAAGACTTTTATTACCCTGACAACAAGAGCGAAACAGGATGTTGTGACGATGGTGAGATCTGTTCATCTGGACTGTGGTGTTTCTGTTTTCTGGCCTTGGTTTCCTCATTGTCAGTTTTTCCGTTTGGGCCAAGAATTTTGATTTCAGTCTCTTCGATGTAAAGTAGCTGGAGTTTTTAAAAGTTGAGTGACTTTCCAAGATGATTTAGTTTAAGGGAATTAAAATTAATTTCTTATTTTGTCTTCATTGTTTTCCACTCATCTGTATTCATATTTATATCCACATTAAATATTCTAAACATGAATTTGTAAAATGGAATAACCCAGAGGTTATATTTATTATTTCTTTCTTGGTTTAACTGTTGAGTTAGGGTTAACAAGGTTTGTTTTTTGAGTTTTTTTGTTTTTTTTCTGAGTTAGGGTTAACAAGGTTTGTTTTTAGAGGTTTTTTGTTTGTTTTTGCATTCATTCGTATCTCATGTTCAGCATCTTGCACAAGTCAGGGTTAAAATATCTCTATGACTGCCTGTACTAAAAAAACAACTGTATCTGGCTCCATTATAAAAGCATTAATATTCTCCACCAAACCGCTGACAGATGGGCCGCGGTGCTGTTACTCAACCTTGTGACTTCGCCATCCTGAGACGATATGATCGCTTCTCCTCCGTATGTTTGTCTGATCGTATCAGCTGTTTGTATTTCAGCTGTGTGTGTGCGTGTGTGTGTGTGTGTGAATTCAACAACCAGTATAAATCCGGACTGAAACTCACAGCACTTGTTTCCATTTAATAAAAAACGACCCGCTCCAACAGTAGGTCATGGGTTTAGCAGTAAACACAGACACAAAAAAAAAAAAAAAAAAAACCTTAAGGGTTTCACAGTGTTGACAGAAATGAAGGACATTCCTTTTTAGTTTGAGACGTCCACGTTCAAAGACTGACTTTGAAGAAGAAGAACTGACCTCTTCTAATTAATCTAATTAATCTAAAGGCAAAAAGGCATTCAGATTAAGACGACGATGTAGATCACGGATTTCTCTTCCATTCCTTAAATGTCATGTTGTCTGAAAACAAGGCCATAACGTTTGGTCTTTACAGGAAAGAAGGACACGGCAGTGAGACACAGATGAAGCCTGAAGTCCAGGATCACCTCAGTCCTACCACGTCGATACTCTGTTGTTGTTTAGACTCACTGCAGTGAAGAGTTGAGGGGGGGGGTCAGACATCAGCTTGTGTTGAAGCAGCTACACTCAGCTTGTGTTGGAGCAGCTACACCGAGCGCCTATGAACTATGACCGACTACTGAGTGACGTTGAAGACAACGGCTTCTCTGAAAATTTGAAAGAAATTTCCAAGCTATTCTAGAAGCTACTGTCAAGATGCACAGGTATTACTAAAATTCAAAATGGCGGTAGATAGATAAATTCTCACTTATATTTCTCCATATAAATAAAAAATTACATTTTTATTTATTAATAATTCTAACTTTTAGATCAGGCATTAATAAAAACAGGTGCTATTTCGATTAATCACCGTTCATGATGACCCATCCTACAGCTAGTCTGTGACTGATCGGATTCAAACCAGGTTTAAATAACTGACATCATCACAGAGACATGAAACTGGTAGCCAAGACCACAGGACTCAGAGGAAACTTCATCAAACTGCGTATGTATGCAGTACTACTGAAAATAATGAGTATTTTTGAAGGATTCACCGTAAAAAAAAACAAGTCTCCATTTCTTATAAACGATCCTGCTCTCGGCCGCTGCACTGGAGCAAATGGATTCTGTCCTGGTCTCAGTATCAACATCTGTATTTTGTACTTCACCGTCAAAGTGTCTGTTGTTTGTCTGTTGTTTGTTGATGTTATTTCAACACAGTCTAACAAAAGTATTTCACAAAAAAACAAAAAACAAATAGTGAGGAAAATAAAGACAATGTTAAACTAAATAATTTATAAGAAAAAATAGTAATAATAATAGAAATTCTTTACTACAATACGACTAAAATCCAAACATGGGGGGGGGGGTTACGTACGAGGTGGGGGCGGGGCCTAACGTGACAGATGAACTGTATCTTAATCTGTGATGTGAACATGACGGGGAATACGTGAGCGTTTGTCTGCAGTGAACCGACACCGTGATCTCTCATCCCTACACACACACACACACACACACACAAACACACACACTAACACACACACACACACACTAACGTACTGAATGTCCTCATCAGCCGACAGCAGGGACCGAGGTAGACACAGACGTCACAACATCACCCTGAGGCTCGCCCAGCATCCAGTAATGGCATCATAAATAATACACCAAGCTGCACTCCTGCAGTATGGGGACGGGAGGGGTCACCCCGTCTCACACACACACACACACACACACACACACACACAGACACACAGAGACAGCTTAGGTTACATCACGTCGTCTGGTCCAGTCTGCTGATAATGCCATTGTCTGTACGTCCATGAATTCAATCTGATGAAACAGAGCGCAGGGTTTCTTATTCTCCTCGGGTTTTTTTTTTTTTTTTAATCTGTAAATGTGTTTATTGAATACTTTATATGCCAGACATGGACGAGTATCTGAATAGGATTAAAAAAAAAAAAAAAACCCAACTGAACAACAGAAAAAATGTGAAGAATTTCCCGTCAGTATAATGTGTTATCATTAATATTTCAACGACATTCCTCATCTGTCTCTCATATCGACGTGCGGCGCTGATGAAAATATATTTGTGTCTGAGGATTTTCCTAATTTGATCTGATAAAAAATGTTCTAGTGAAACGGTAACCTTTTCTTTTTCTTTTTGTTTTTTTAGCACAACCAGCTACACAGTGGTCAGAGAGCGTTCTGTGAACCAGGGTTCAGTGTCTTCAGTCGGTCAACAGTGTCGGCCGTTTGGAGGTGAACGACCTCAGAGACAAAGACAGGACAGGATACAAGCAAACGAACAGAACACCTGAAGATGCTAACGATTTTTTTTAATTTACTGAAACGTCTTTTTCAATTCAAACTCACTATTGGTTTAAAAGCTCTGCTCACTTTCTGTTCATCTCGTGTTCATGTTTAATTTTATTTAATTTTTTTTCTTCAATACAGAAAAATTTGATTTATTCATTTTGATGTAAATCCTTTTGTGAATGAGAAGAACACAGAACTGACGGCCATCATTTCCCCACTGTGGTTTGGGTGGAACTCGCAGCTGAAAACTGCACGTCTTCCTATTTCCTACAGGGCGGTGCCACCTACTGTACATCACAGTGTTTTCTGGTTTACTGGGTACTCAGTATCGGTGAGTACTCAGTATCGGTGAGTACTCAGTATTGGTGAGTACACAAATTGAAATCAAAGGTTTGTACAAAGTATATGGACACAAGCCTTGTTTTTTTAGCTAGACGACGACAAAGCAGCGCGGCCGTCGACACCCTGACTTTATAAACACTGCAGTACACAGTTCCCACACTGACACGTGATACGATGGACAACTTGATATGAGCCGTTAAATTCCCCCATCCTTCAACCCCGGTTTGTAAAGATAGCTTTCTATCTTTCTAAAAAAAAAAAAATTTATAGCTATCCAGAGACACAGACGACAGAAGTTTTTTTTTTTTCTAAACAGACTTCAGATAAAGTTACTGCTCCTGACACAAAGAAATATCATGTTATCTATCCAATATCACCGTATCTCATTTCACAGCACAGATTCTAAGCATTGATCGTGGAATAAAGTTCCAGCCGTAGTCGGCATTTTATGAAGGATTAATATTTCACTATTTTCTTCTCTGTTCACACATGAGACACCAAAAATGTTGTCCTGAAACTGAGATCTGAAGATGACACCGTCAATAAATATGATCTGCTTTTTTTTTCTGTTTATTTATTTTTTCCTTTCGGGAATGGGCCGTTTTTTAACCAGCAACAATAATGGCTGAGTTCCATTTAACTTCTGCTAAATTTCAGGGTGCATCCCATCATGCTCTCTGTTCTGACTTATGTATATGCAAATAATAAAAAACAGTTTTTTATTCTCATGTAAAAACAACATGCATTTAATCTAAAATGTAAACATATAAACTCTCAAAAGGGACAACTGTGAGAAAAGCGGCAACAAAGAAAATATTTATTCCGCAGTCTTGAAAGATAACCGTGTTTCAAACTGAGAGAATTCTCATTTTAAACAGAGAAAAACATGTTTACGGTCGTTGGCCAATGGGATTAATGTTGTGGTCCTTGGCTGCAGCATGAAAACAGCCAGTTCTACAGTTGGACAATCTGCACCAACTTTCACACCATATTAAACAATGTTTACAATGTTAAACCCCCCCCACCCCCCCACTCTCAGCAGACAGGCGCAGGTCTGCAGTTACAGATGGTATTTAAATACGCTGTGAGACTCCAAACCTCAAAACCATTTTCATAACTGTGAAACTAGTCATTGAGGTAGCTCTCTTTACCGGAATTACACCCGCAACTGCGCTATTTAATGTGGGTCTACTCTGCCAACCAAGTCAGTCTGAGGTCTTGTCTGGACCTGGGACAGATCTATGTGGGCAGACCAAGGCTACTGGCAGCTCCGACTACAACATCCTCAAGACACAGACTCAGAAAGAATGAAAGCACAACTCACCACAATCACTTTCTGAGGAGCTGGACAGCTCCGCCTCCACCGCCGTCTCCTCCGTGCCCTCCTCTTCCTCCTCTTCCTCCTCTTCCTCCTCTTCCTCCTCTTCCTCCTCTTCCTCCTCTTCCTCCTCTTCCTCCTCTTCCTCCTCTTCCTCCTCTTCCTCCTCTTCCTCCTCTTCCTCCTCTTCCTCCTCTTCCTCCTCTTCCTCCTCTTCCTCCTCTTCCTCCTCTTCCTCCTCTTCCTCCTCTTCCTCCTCTTCCTCCTCTTCCTCCTCTTCCTCCTCTTCCTCCTCTTCCTCCTCGTCCTGCTGCTCCTCGTCATCCAGATGTACCGGGCTTTCCTCCCTTTCTTGTATCTCCCGTTGTGCGTCCTCGTTGTTCTCCTCCGTTTGGACGCAAGGCCCCGGCGCCAGGTCCCCTCCCTGACCCAAGGAGTAGTTGTGCTCCTCGCTGCAGTGCTCCAAGGCCAGACTTGCTGCTGCCACCTCTTCCTCTTCCTCTTCCTGTTGTCCCACCTGATACACCTCCACTGTGTGCTCCTTTGACATCCCCCCATCCTGACCTCCTTCTGCCAAGCCTCCCGCAACACATTGATCCTGCTCTGTTGTCGTGGCAACAGACATGTGACCATCCTCCCTCCCCGCGGCAGTGTCCTGAACGACATGATTGGCAGAGGGTACCGAGGCACTGTTGCTCCTCTTTTCCTCTCCCATCTCCTCCTCCGCTCCCTCGTCGTGGCTTCTTCCCCAGCGGCCCATCAGCACGGCCTCCTCCGACCCGGCCAGCTCGCCTGCTACACCCAGGCCCAGCTTGGTGTAGCGAGCCATTTCATCCAGGGCAGACACGTCCCAGCGCTCAGGGTGAAGGTCCTCCCCAAAGCCGCCATCATCCACCAGGTCGCTTAGCAACTCAAAGGGTCGTTTCCTTGGCGACGCTGGGGAGCCCAGCATGAGGAGATCGCCCTAAAACGATGAAGAGGAGAAGTTTTAAATGAATCCAAGTTTCATCTCACCCAGAAGACGAGAGATTTTTCTGAGCCGTTTGATTGGACCATCGCTGCCTTCATTCACACCTGTGAAAAATATCATTAAAGTTGAGAAAAACTCAACTCTCATTTTATGAAGTGTTATCTCACCTGGTCATATTCTGTCCTGCCCCCTTGTGGCGACATGGCCAGAGGGTAAGGGCTTAACAAGCCCCTGTGCCCCCCATAGGCCTCGCCAAATGCAGGCTCCATCCCATTCATTCCCGGCTAAGAGAAAGAAAAACACACACACACACGGCGTAAGATACAGATGCGACAGGGCGACGTGAGGCGTGAGATTCAGAGGTAACAGTCAGACTTCACCTGAGGCATGCCCGAGGCAGGAGGGTGTCAGGTCGTGGTCACAAAGTCAGTTTAAGTGGAATCTGCAGCAAAGAACTGACGTCACCACGAGGCACGACATGGAATTGACTGAAAACGTCTAAGAGGAGATGAGTTTCTTACTTAGGGTTGAAAGCTGTGAAGCTCAAGGAGTCAAGTCCTTTTCACATGTCGCAATCCTGCAGTTGTCGACCTTTTAGCCTGGAGGGAGGGTGGGGGGGTGAGGGGGAGGACATGTCAGTAAGGACATTAATATAAAATATAAGGTTCATCGGTGAACAAACACATTATGTGTGCAGTGAAACATGAACCACGGAGTCGCCGCCGTCTCTGGATGGTTTGGCTACAGTTATTGTTGATCTGGTTAGTTGCCCCGCAATACTATAAATACATTTCTTTATGGAATATGGAACATGACACCACAGCTGCTGCCACCGCCGCTGCTGTCAGAGATGTAGGACATATATCTCCCTAAGAACGTCCTGCTAAATGCTCCGACTTCACACTAATGCAAGGCAGTCATTTAGTGGACAACGTCAATTCAGACCAGCGTTAACTGCACGTCGCCATGTGTCCCAGAGCTTTAACTAAATCAACATTCAACAGGAGCTAACAACCAAAAACCAGAGCCACTGAGGAAAAGACGTTTGAAGCTTACAACGATTAAAAAAAACAACAACAATATTTTTATCTAAAAACAAAAACTGGGGACGTCAAAGAACCAAACATTTAAATCTCATTCATTACAGAGTGAATTATCCACGATTAATCGAGAAGATTGAAGATTTTCTAAATATGATACATATATAAATATAATATAAAGAAAATCTGTATATCACTGAATTCTTATTTCAGTAAAATATGCAAAAGTATTTTAATTTTAAAGTATTTTTAAATGTAGCTTCATGGAGTTGGTGGATTTGTAGAACATGTCAACGTAACGTGTACTAACGTAATACTACAAGTACTGACACTAATACTGTCCTTTAATGTAATATTTTAGTCTTCAAACACAGTATATTCAGTTCACCACCGGAGAATCAAAGGAACTGAAAGCGATTCTCATTTAAAAGGTGTAAAAAAAAACAAAAAAAAAAACAAACTCACTGAACATCTGATATTTTTAACCCCTTCAGATCAATTAGCAGACGTCAACAACAGTCCCTGGTGTACTGACTTCAAGGTATTCAATCTGAAATGACTCTTCTTTTTTTTTTACTGTAATGACACAAGTTAGTCACCACAGACAATGTCAGTCTCGGTCTGTGCACACGTCACAGTTCCTGAAATGCTGCATCTGACGCTGTTGCCACGTCTACTGCCATGACCTCACAGATCAATAATAAAAAAAATTATAGTTACTCTTTTGCAAGTGTGGGTTTTTTTTGTAACTGACACAGGAGACGTGTGGTTCTTCTGGGAATCGAACCCAGAACTCTCTGCTCTCTGTTTTCAGGACCACAAATGGTGGCGAGACGATAAGTGATAAACTGAAAGACTTTTGCACATTTTTTATTTTTGCAAAGCTGCCTAATGTTTTTCAAACACTTGTGGCTAAAACTCACTGCAGAACGGTGACGGTGTGTGTTTGTGTGTGTGTTGGTGCAACAGAGTGACACACACAGATGTGACTTTTTAAATCAAACTTAAAAACCCAGCTCTATCGACCGACCCCATCCTTTAACCTGGCTAACGTTCTCTGGACACGCGCTCCTTCAGCTCCGCCCAATACGGCTGCTCTGGGCCAATCGGATAGCTCCTGCCTCCGCATTGGTTAGTTATAGCCAAACCAAAAATGTCTGCCTAAGAGAAGAGGGGAAAAGGAGGCGGAGGAGGAGGAAGAAGAGGACGCACGGAAGAGAAGAAGGAGGAGGAGGAGGAGGAGGAGGAGGAGGAGGAGGAGGAGACCGCACTGCAAACTGCTGATCGGACTGGGTTTCTTTCAGACATGATGAAACAAAGAGCAACACAAACACCAGAATCGCACACGCGGAGCCAAAGTACTGCTCAGTACCTGTGGAGAACCAGGAGCGAGCGGT